CTTTGTCTCGTTAGTTGATAATTTTACCGTTTTCTAGTATTTGCTAGTTAATTAGTTAGAAATATAAATCTCAATCTTTATAATTTAGAAAATTGTTCAAACTTGTCTTTTTAGTGATATTAAACAGATATAGCTAAGCCTTAGTTCTCTGTGGGATTCGACTCCGGACTTTTAGACCGGATTATATTTGCAGCGACCGCTTATCCTTTTTAGGACTAGAGTTGGGCGTGATCAACGGTAACAAGGTCTTCTGTAGTGATAGTGGACACACGATTGCCATCTTCTTTCTGTTCTTCCTTGTCTCTATTATCCTTTTTCAAAATCTGACAGAACTTCTTTGTGTGCCCTTTCTTCCCGCAATGATAGCACTCAATATCTTTAAGTCTGCTTCTGAATTTGCTTCTATTATGTTCTCTATTCTGAGAACCCTAATTCTTGTTTCTCCACCTAGAGTCAGTCACCAAGACATCTAATGAGGAGGAACCTTGAGATTTTCTTCTCATCTCTTCATTTAAAAGGCTGCTCTTAGCAAGATCCATAGAGATCACACCATCCGGAGCAGAATTTGATAATGAAGTTCTAAGAATTTCCCAAGAATCTGGTAGGGAACCAAGTAGAAACAGACCTTGAATTTCTTCATCTAATTTAATGCCCATAGCAGATAACTGGTTCATGATCCCCTGAAAATTATTCAGATGATCTGTCATCGCGGAACCATCATGGTATTTTAAACCCAACATCTGCTTTATCAGAAACATCTTGTTGCTTCCAGTTTTCTGAGCATACAAACTTTCAAGGTGCTCTCATAGGGTCCGAGCATGTGTCTCCCTAGAAATATGGTTCAAAACATTATCGTCAACCCACTGTCTAATAAAGCCGCAAACCTGCCTGTGTAACAAATTCCACTCTTCATCTGATTTATTATCAGACTTTATAGTGGTGAAGACAGGTTGATGAAAATTCTTGACATAGAGCAAATCTTCCATTTTGTCCTTCCAAATGGCATAATTTGTGCCATTCAAAGTAACCATTCTACTAGTGTTGACTTCCATCGTTTATCACAAATACAAATACTATTTATTAGGAGACCAAAGTAATTCTTTTCTGATGTGGAAGTTCAGATTGTGTTGCAACCACAGAGCATACTCAGACAGAACCTTGGCTCTGATACCACTTGTAGGGAATAAACCCCGTAAAAATAATATTCACGCTATTAGTGATAAACGTGGAACACTAAGTTATGGTTAAATCATCAAGAATAGAAATGTAACAATAATGACACCAAGATTTTACGTGGAAACCCTTCTGAATAAGGGAAAAAACCACGGCCAAGAAGAGCAACGGATATCACTATAGCGAGGAATTTTACACTGTGTAGTAATGAGTACAAATACTCCTAAGACCACTACACCCTCAAAAGAAAGAACACTCTTTTGCTTTTTCACATCAATACAATATCCCTCACACTCTATTTTTCTTCACAGACTATTTTTTTATAGTCTATGGAATACCTTGCTCTCTCTCACTTAGATGTATTGTCTGAGATTTTGGTATGTCTACAACTGAAAATATGCATCCCTATTTATAGGGAAAAAATGGGCTCGCTGATGTAAGCAATGACTCAAGCAAGCACAAAATAGCCTATGGAAAGATATTTGGCCGGTTGGTCATATCTCCAAAACTTTGACAATTTACCAAAAAAGGAAAAAGACATCTTCCTTAAAACATGGGGCTGGACCCCACACAATTTTGGTAATTATTCAAAATATTCAATACTTTCTTAGATTTTAGATTATTATGGTGTTTGCAGGTTTGCATGTTATGGTGTGTGATGTCATATTCTGCTTCTTTTTATATAATTGAGAAAGGGTTAAGTGGTTTAAACTTTAAAGGTTTGATTTTTGGCATATTACTGTACAAAGGCAACTACTATTAGTGGACAGATATTGTTTGGGATGTTGATCTAGTCAGAAAAACATCCTTGTACTCTGTGTTATATTAATTTGGTTATAACTCTTTCTTTTCAGCATCATTCTGCTGAATTGTGGTCAGCTAAGTTTTAGGTTTCTTAGTAAGTAAATGTTAGATGAATTGGTTTTCGGGGTACTTTGAATGTGTAATAGTTGACGACCATAGCAACTAGGGGCGGATTTAGGGGGCGAACCCCTTCGTCGAAAAATTACATTGTATATATAAAGCAAAATCAGTTTTATGTCTCTATATATTATATTTTGAATCCCCTTGACACAGTCCAAAAACATAACTCAGTGGTCAAGGGGTTCAAAATCTTTGTGAGTTTGCTAGTTCTATTCCCACCGGCCACAACTAGTTCACCCGGCTGAAAAGTAGTTATCAGTTTAACTACTTAAAGTAGTGACCTGGCCCCGAATGACCATTCAGTTGAACCATATTTACCTAGGAAAGTTGAGACGTCCTCTCTTAGAGGAATTACCAGTCATGGTTCTTTGGTTGGCTATCTCTCTATTCGGCGTAGAGTGGTGTTGATCTCTGATATGAGCGAATCATTCAGCATTCGGAAATTAATCAAGTTGGGTGAGCAAAGATTTGAATTACAAGGATGGCTTACCACAAGGTCCATTATCCATATCTTACTGGTGGATCTTTTACAGCCTGCTTGTGTTTGGTGCCAGTGCCTGATAATTGAACTGGTATCATAAAGAAATACATAAGATTAGATTTCGCCTTGGGGGTGGCACCGCGGTCGAAGAATTGGAGTGAAAACCTTGAGAATCAAGGTTTGAGTACCAACATAACGTGTTGTCTAAGTTTTGGTGGGTAGAAATACCCGTTATGTGCTGGTGGGAGTTTTAGTAGTAAGTACCTGATGGATTAGTCTAGATGCCCGGACACCATTCTTATATGTATTTTTACATATATTGTTTTTGTATGATAATCAGCTGGTATAATGACCTGCGCCGAGAGAGACTCATTTTATTGCGTAGCTTGAGTATGAATTGAGTCTCATATTTTACCTGGTTTCACAGAATTCTATCTCACGGCTACCCTGATTTCAGCATATACTTAAATTCTTCCAAGTCTTGAAAATTCTAGATAAAGATTGGTTAAAAGCAATTTGAACTTCCCACCATAACGTATTTCAGCATGTTTTGAGTTACATGTGTGAAAGATGTCTAGTGATTGTTTTTGTTTCTAGATTTGTTACATCTCTTACGGTTTCCAGTAATCTGTTTCTTTTGCGCTTGCCTTTTTGATTTATTAAAGGGAGAAGAAAAGGGAGCTACTATCACTAGTTCCATGAGGTAATTTTGTCATCTGCATTACTAAATTGGATCCTCTTCAGTTTTAACAGCAGCCACCTGAAAGGCACACCTGAAATTCTGACCCATTAAAAGTTTCCACGTATATTAATAACTTCGTTATATGACAGAAGTCCTCTTATTCTAGTTAGGAGTAACAAACTTAAAGCTCCAATACAAAAGCCTTCTGCACAGACTGGCAGTCTGATCAAGATCACCACCCCTTATGGATGGAATTTGCTTATGGAAATACACAAGGGACCTGGGGGTGGGGGGTGGGGGGGGAGAGGGGGGGGAATTGTTGCTGCTACCAGATTCAACTTAGGAAATGGAAAGAAAATAAAATAAAATTCTGACAAGATGCATGGCTACTCCACAGCCCTCTCCAAAATGAATCCTCAAATTAGTTTAGCATAGCAAAAAAAATGCTTTAGACACGGTTGCTCAATGCAAGACAGAACTATATGGAAAATAATACTCAGATTGAACTGAAATTGATCTGGAGATGGTCACGGATCTATCAGAAAAAAACTGGCGAAACATAGCCATGTAATTGACAAACCATATCCATCAGAACAAAGAGGCATCACTTCACGGAAACAACTTAAGGCCACATGGATCACCATTCTAGTATGAATCCTAAGGGTGATATTGGCCAAAAGAAACAGGGACAAAACTGAAAGATGTATACAATACAGAGAGACTGTTTGAATTCCCCCTCTTTTATCAAGAACTGTTAAGGGAAATTGCAATGCAAATTTGTAACCCCTTTTGAACAGGTCAGTACTCCCTTAGTGCTACTCTTTTATACAATAATGTAATAACTTGTTACCTAATCAAATTGTTGGTAGATTTAAGAAAATAGGGCGAAAATAATTAATGCATGATTGCACACACTCAACTTACTAGACCAACAGGGTGAACCTTACTCCTCAACATGTAGCGTGTGAGCGTATCCTTCGCATGAGACTTGGCCCTTTTACCCAACAATCAAGTCCACTGAAGAAGCATTAGCAACTGTTTTAGTTAAGAACAAACTCAGCCAAATTCACATATACTAGCCACCATGATTGTTCTCAAACTTATTGAAATCCACAACTAACAGCGCTCTAAGCCCCGAAGAATTAACCAACTTTATAAAACATACAAAAGCAATTAAATCTCACCTTGTTAAATATACAAAACCAACAAAAATCTAACAGAACACAAACCAGTTGTGGCACCTCTTTTTTAATATTTTGGATATCAGATGATATCAAGGTCACCACAAGAACTGCTATGATGTTGGAAGAGAGGAGATGAGGAAACACAAGGCAAAATGGTGGAACTGCATACCAGCCTGCATCTGGTGGACTGTATGGACAGAGAGAAACAAAAGATGTTCTGAAGACATTGCCTATCCCAGTCAGAACGTCAAGTTTAACAGTATTCTTCTTTGTTTTTGGTGCAGCTAGTAAGTGACACTAGACAAATAGAATTTGTCAATTCCCTACAGGAATAGAAGGGAACACTTTTGCCCTTCTTTTTTTTTTTTTTTTTTTTTTTTTTTTTTTTTTTTTTTTTTTTTTTTGAGAAAAAGAAGGGAACACTTTTGCTTGTTGCTATACATGTGGAAAATATGTCAGCACACCGGCCAGTCTTGTTCATAGTGGTTGAGAGAATCCTCTTCATACCACTAGGTCAAGAGTTCGAGACCGATAAGATGCCAAACAAACAAAAAAATATGTCCCATCTCACTAACTTTCTGTGCAAGTCGTCCAACTCTTAACTCTATGTCCCAAGACATTGTCCACGAGCAAAAACTGACGGATGGGCAAGTGGTAAGACTCTATGCTGCGCGGACTCTCCGAAACACTGCCGCACCCATATCGGATTCTCCAAAAATACACTGCTTTTGGAGAATTTGACACACACCCGACAACATTTTCGGAGAGTCCGAGCAACATAGGCAAGACTCACAGTGAACCCCACCACTTGCACAGACCTTCACTCATACATCCAGCCGATCAAGCAACCTTGAGCTCATACAGATTTTCTAGCTTAGAACACAAGGACTCGAGTTTACTCATGGTATCTCAAGCAGTATATCGCGAGACCTAGTGATTAGACCACTTGAGAATACGGGGAGTTACCATAGAAAGAAAGATCAACCTATAAAGGCAAGATAACTTCTTATAAGATCTTATCTCAACTAGCTAGAACATGTAGGTGGTACACTTAAAAATAAGTGGCATTACTCCAATAAACAAGATTGCTTTGTTATGTGCCAGTTAATAGGAGAGGGTATACTTGTCTTTGCATGTAAATAAGGAGGTCGTATTAGTCATTGGCTGATAAGAATTAGTTACGCAATTAGTTAATATGAGCTGACTGATTAGTTGAATGGTTATCTGGGCAGTTAGAAGGAGGTTAGAGGATTAAGAGATATAGAAAGGGGATATCGTTGTAATAGGGGATTCATTGTGATTTGATGCTGAAATTGATTTCCTCCTCCTCTATCTCTATTACGTTCTTGTTATCGACTCCATCGCGACACCGGCCAGTCCACCAAAAATCTATTCAGGGACCATTCCTGCTTTTGGCCCCTTAGGATTTTCTATCTTTTATGTTTGAGTTGTAACAATGGTATTAGAGCCTTTCGGTTCTCGTACAATAATGACTACCATGGAAGATGATATCAACTCGGAAGATGATATTCTATGAAGAACTCAGAGAAGACATTGACAACATCAAGAAATCCATGATTGACATAGCTCGGAAGCTTGTTGAGAGCTTGGAGGAGATTAAAAGTATGCTGGTATCCTACATAACAGGAACAAGATCGCAGGTCGGTGGTGAAGTTTCAAGTACTAGCAGCAAGTTGAATCCATACTCGCTAGAAGCCACAAAATGGAGCCTGACAGAATCATACTCTTCAAAAGGTACATGAATTTGATATACAATCTTCTGTAGTTATAGGTGATGGGCAAGAATAAAATCTTGAGAGTAATGGGGAATTTCAACATGATGAAGGAGACAAGAAGATCTCAGAGATGACTAGAAAAAGGCTTCATCGCATGACTGGGAGGTGTTCCATGAAATTTCCCATGAGTTCGATGAAATTCCTCAGTCGAATTTATGTGGTAAAATGGTTTTATCTCAAGGCTGGGAAGTCTTCGATGAAATCCTTCAGTCGAATTTGTGTGTTAGTTACAGAAATAGTTTGATTGCTGAAGATAAAGATGGTATTTCATGGAATTTAATGATAGGAAGATGTGTGCAAACTCGTATTTTCGACGAAGATTTGAACTTGCTTAGGCAGATACTAATTGTTAATGTCGAGCCTTTGAAAGTTTCCTTGTCAGTAATTCTGCTTCTGCCTGCATTTGGTCAGTTAATGACACTACTTATGAGGAAGCATCACCATGCATATGTCGGTAGAACAGAGTTTGATTGCAACATGTGTATAGCTAGCTCACTAGTTAATAGTGATTCTCTAGTGAACAAGGAATCGATGAGAATATCGTTGGTGGCTTGGTGCATCTTCAAATTTTTCTGACTTCTAGTTGTTCACTATTCCCACTTAATCCGGGAGGAATCAAACTAGAAGAGGAGAGTGTATTTGGTAGTTTAAGGGATCTTGGAGAAGATAGTCACAGTGAATATGAACCATTTAGCAGAAAAAGATTACGGAAACAGCATAGTTATGATGACGATTGGGAAGAAGACACTAATGAGGAGGTGGAGTTACTTCTATACTTTGAACATTGTAAGAAGGCTCCTCATCGTCACAGGGATGGTTCAGTTAATAAAAGAAACGAGCTCAAGAATGTGCCAATTTCTGCGCGGCCAAAAATGCAAGAAGCTTTTCAGCCGGGCGTGACTCTACAGCTGCTTGGAAAAGACATTTTCTATGTTACAGTACGCTTAGCAGAGTAACCACAATGGAGCATGATGGATACTCTTGCAATAGAGATTGACTTTCATGACACAAGCAGTGGTCCTCGAGTCCCTGCGATCACTGATTATTTTGCTTTCACAATGGCTTCTTTAAGCGAAAATGAAAGTGTATTTGCAAATCCATGTAATGGTGAGAAGAACATGAGTAAACTCATTTATTGTTCTTTCAGTAGTTGGGCTAATAACAGAGACTGGTCAATCCGCTTTGAAGAGGAATAAGTAAGAGCAGATGCAATAGAAATTGGTTGGGTAGCTACCATAACAAGTTGTAATTTTCTTAGCATCTTTGCTGAGGGTTGTCTACAACAGTTTGGAGATACATCTAATCTTCCTGATTTACTAGTTTTCCTCTCCTCACATGGCGACATGGTTTTGGAGCCTGAAGTAGTGTTGGATCAGAGGACAATTCTCATAGACAATCAACAAATCACTCAAGTTCTGATCAAATGGTTCAATTGTCTACTTGAAGATAGCACTTGGGTGAAGTTAACTCTTTTTAGCAGCAATTTCTTGATTTGTCCTTGAGGACAAGAATTTTTAACAGAGGGGGTATTTGTTATGTGCCAGTTAATTGGAGGGGTATACTTGTCTTTGCATGTAAATAAGGAGGTCATATTAGTCATTGGCTGATAAGAATTAGTTAAGCAATTAGTTAATGTGAGCTGACTGATTAGTTGAGCTGTTAGCTGGGCAGTTAGGAAGGAGTTAGAGGATTAAGAGATGTAAAAGGGGAGAACATTGTAATTGGGGATTCATTGTGATTTGATATTGAAATTGATTTCCTCCCCCTCTATCTCTATTACGTTCTTGTTATGGACTCCATCGGCGACGCCGGCCAGTCCACTGGAAATCTGTCCAGGGACCATTCCTGCTCTTGGCCCCTTAAGATTCTATCTTTTTTGTTTGAGTTGTAACATATTTCCTAGGTGCATTGCCCTTGCCCCAGCCCCCTCTATTTCTAGAGAATGAACCTTAAAAGTTAATTTATTGCCTAGTGCAGTCATTAGACCACATTCAACGACAAACAAGTAGCAAACACATGTAGCCTGGTGTTATTCCACAATTCCTTTTGCTCTAAGCAAGTACTTTTGCTCTAATGCAACAGGCATATTTATAGAGGACACCCAACCAGTTCGGGATTGAGGCATAAATTTAACTTATCCGAAGAACCATCATACTTGAATCTTCCCAAATACACACACAAGCTAAGCTGCTACTTATATATATACACACAAGCAAATCACGTAAGACGATCCAATTAAAACTTACTGTATGAAACACAAAATATAAAGCAAAAAATTACACATCCAGAGGTGAAAATGAAAAAAGAATAACATAATCAACCATTGTCATTAAAACTGAACATAAAACAGTAAGCTCGAATTTCAGGTCAAAGTTAAAAGTCAATAACATTTATTTTCCAACTCTCTAAAAACCACAAACTATCAACAAGGATAAACTATCCCCAATTTATCGAAAACCCCTAATTTGACAATCCAAAAAAGGAGCGAAATTCAAAAACCATACCCAAAAATGATCCACAGATTCATTCATCAATGGATTGGATTTGAGCAGAAGATGATTCAAGTTCGAGGCGTTTTAGGGCTTCTTGATGGGCCCAAGTTTCAAGTGTGAGATCGGGCTTAGCGTTGAGGCCCACACCGAGGATAACGATAGTGAAAAAGCTGGTGATGTAGCAAGGGAGTTCCCAATCCTCCCATTTCCGGGATTGTCCAGGTGGTGGTGGGACCCGGTTGAATAGGTATCCGTTGGGCCGATCTTGGTGACCCGCAGTAGTAAACGGGTTCAGGCCGTGGCCTCCTCTTGTTCGGAGGGCCGAACTAAGACGAGCTCGTAGCATGCCGGCAGCGGTCGCGAAGGGTTTCGCGGACGGCATCGTTGGCCAGGTGAAAGGAAGTGTGTGAGAGACCCGAGTGATTCGCTCCTGTGTGTATTTGTGTGATTGGATCCTATGTGCTGTTCACTATAAATCGAAAACACTGTCATTTTTTGCCAAGTGTTTTTAACTACAAAAATTTATCCGCACTCGGAAAAAAAAAAAAACAAGCCTTATGCCTTTTATGCACCATTTATCCCTTTAACTTTGATTACTTTATATGTATTTTTACTTTGACTTATAGTATCTAGTGGAATAACCATTTTGATTATATCGCTTATTTTGATGTAAACACAATATAGAAATAATAAATTGTGTATTTTTATTTTTTTTTGTGATAGTAGTGTAACACCAATTATTATACGTGGAATGTCCTAATTTTATTAGAGAGTTCCCAACATAAGAATCACTTTTCTTTTTACTACAAGTTACTGCTTTTTGTATAAGGTTTTGAAAAGATATTTGAGGAATAAAATGTTGGTAATTAAAGAATCAATATTTCTTCTAATTCTATGTTTCTGGAGATTTTTTAGAAAAACTCTCAAGTCTTCTTCTTCATTAACTGTATAAAAAAGTTTGTAGGCATATAAAATTTATTGGGATTAAATTTATAAAATAATTTGGACTATATTTTAAATTTAATATATATTAGTTCAAATAAATTTACTGGGCTAATATAATTAGATTATTATATAAGTCCAAATGCATATGAGTTAAATAAATGAGTCCAAATCCATTGGGCTAGCCCATTTAATTGGGCTAAAGTGAAGAACCCACTTCATTAAACCCAAGATATCATCTTCCTAGAGGCCCAGTTTGGTGTCACGTGTCAAATGACGAGGCACGCCAAGTCAAACGGAAGAGTCAATAGGATCATGTCACGTGTCAAAATGACAAGGCATGCCCAGTCACACTGAAAGGCCAATGAAATCGCGCCACGTG